AGAAGTGACGGGCGGCTTAACGACCCAGGGAGAACCTGCTACTAAGAGGCCGGGAATCAGCTGGGTTCTAAACGCAGCTCTGCCGAGAAACACTGCTGTGTCCTACGGCACAGCTCCTCGAGCCCCGGGACTCAGCTCCCTCATCGGTGAGATGAGAGGAGAGACCTCCTGATCTCTAAGGGACGTGAAAACCAGACTGAAGAAACAGAGCAGTTTTGCTGGGAGGAATCCTAAACCTCAGAATCGGGGCTAACACCGGAGCATCCACAGTGGAACTGACACGATGGCCCTTCCCGATGCTGCTGCTGTCACTGGTCCCACTTTACGGACGAGGACAGCCAGGCACGGAGAGCTCCGACGGCTTCCTCATGAAGTGGCAGAGCCAAGACGCAAACCGACGCAGGCAGGCTGGCTCTGAGCCACTCGGCCGTATCGCTGTCTATCTGGGAGAATCGCTCCCACAAAATACTTATGGATGTTTCTGTAACTGATTAACAACGATCACCTCCACGTTACACAGCTGCAGAATCTATCGACACAGCCAAGCTTCGGCAGGGCCCGCCTGGGGCCTTTACTCGGGGGCCGGGGACGCCTATGTGGTGGGGAGCCCTGGTGGGGAAGGGCACCGACCAGTTTGCCACGTTAGTCTTCCTGAAAATATTCTTTTATCAACAGGTTCATGAACATATCCTTTAGTGAATAAATATATCCTTCTCAGCGGATGTGAAGGGGTATCTAACTTGCTGTCAACGGCAGGTCACAGCACAGTTTGGCCTTCCTGAAGGCCGCCCGTTGCTCAGTGGCCAGGGGAAGCCCAGTGCCACCCACCCTCAGGGGACCTACGAGAGGCTCTTTCTACTAAGGACATAAAAGGATATGTCTTTTTTAGAGAAATAATCTACATTAAGAATTTTTCGTTTTGCTTCCATTTGAAGATACTTGATAAAAAAAATCCATCTAAATAACATCATTTCAAAAAAAATTTTTAATCTTATGTTATATAAATTTATATATTTTATCACTAAAAAGGCACTTAAACACTATGATTATTAAAAATTTATAAAACAGGAAACTACAGATGTTGGAAGTCCTAAAAAGTCACAAGAATGAAGCCAGCAAAGGACATCAGTGATTTCGCCGATCTTATGCACTAGATGTAGGTCTTACATTTATTCTTAATCACCACAAAGGTGCCCATGGACGTCTCATAAAAGCATAGAGGAGATGCAACTGCAGACCTCCGAGCAACACCGACCTGCACCGCAGTGCAGCCCTGGACAAGCCGAGGACTGCGGGAGGCCGTCAGGACCGTGGGCCCCATGTCGGCCCAGGGGCAGGCCTGGCTGCAGCTCAGGCCCCAGCACCACTGTCGGCCACCACATCCGGCTCTGCAGCCCGCGTGCCCCCAGGAGCCCCGTTTGGCCAACTTCTGCCTCTGAACTGCTCAGAATCAATCTGAAGCCAGATGCACCACTGGCTGAGTCAAGGGCGCCACTCGAGGAGGAAGCTAGATGACCACAGACCAGGAAAGGGGCCGGGCTAGCCCCGATCCAGCGTGGCACAGGGGCGGCCCAGGCACGGCAGCCGCCGTGCGATGGGACCTGGAGAGGCCAAGACACAGGAGGGAGCCCAGAGCTATGGGCATGAGCATCTGTCACCATGTGTCTCAGTCACTGCTTGGTTCTGCAGGACGACCAGGAAGGCACCAGCTGGGCTGCAGCCGACTCCCCCATGGGAATTCACCCAGGTGCCTAGTAGGGGCAGGAACCCAATTCCCTAAGCTGACGCATAAGAGGACATTTTTAAGGGCACTGTGTCAATCACTGCAAAGTCTGAGCAGTGGGTGCAGGCAGAGACAACGCCTGCAATCACTGCAAAGTCTGAGCAGTGGGTGCAGGCAGGGACAACGCCCGCCGGCCCTGGTGTCCCTGCATGTTCTCGCTGGGTGTGCCAACAATGACAGGCCCCAAGCGCTCTTTATCCGTGCGGCCCATCTCTTTGGGCTGTTCGCCACGGCCACCTTGAGGGATGAGGCGAGTCCCCCTCCAGGATAAAGGGCAGGCTTGCTCACTGCCAACAGAGTGGGTCCCGGCTGGTGCTCCTCGGCTGAGGCACAAACCCCCTCAGGTGCAGCGTTGTCTGGGCCCATGGCATCACCCGTGGGACCCTGGGCCCAGGGGAATGACGTCCACGCTGATACCCATGCTGCACCAGAATAAGGCCCTTGTCTCTGACCCAGGAATGTCGTGTCTTTCAGCGGCCACAGAAGAGCAACAGGCCAACTTATTAGCTTGGAAGTCGGGTAAAACCTCACACCCCCCAGAAGGTTCCCGTTAAGCCCCAGTGCCCCCAAGGACAGCTTACAGCAGAGTGAACGATGAATTCACAGGTCTTCGTTAGGTCCTTGGCCAACAGAGACCGCTTCATGTCACAGCGCAGGGTGTACTAGACAGGAAAGGTGGAACAGAAACGTCATCTTAGTGTGATCTGCTTTCAGCCCGCAATGATCCTAAGAGAGATGAGTCAGCCAATAATTGGGGGAAACTTCAATTAATGTGTTATATGAAACTCGCATACAAATACAGGGAGCTGATGCTCAAAATAAAGGCATTTCTATGAGAAAAACAAAAACACGCTTTAAAGTTATTCCTCAGCCCATCCCCACAGCTAGCCTAAACGTCAGGCGCCCTGGAGTACGGTGAGAGTCCCACCGGCGACGCAGAGAAACAACGGAAAGAGCGAGAGAAGGAACGTGCGGAGCAGCAGACGCTGGTCCGTTTCCAGTTACCGCGCTGCGTGGGCCCAGACAAGAAACACAGCTCCTCTGGGCTCCAGCTTCCTGCCCTGTAAAACCGGGCCATTACTCCCTACCTGCCGTGAACACAGTGAGATGGTGCGCGATAAGCACTCAGCACAGGGCCTGGCACACAGCCACTCTTGGCGAACGGCAGCTACTTTGTAATAAGGATCAGAAAATGTGCGGCAAGGACTAGAAGCCCCTGGAGCAGCATCGAGCACTTGACAGACCAACTTGAGAGAAGCGAGTTCCTCTCCCTTGCTGAGCTGTGTGTGCACCGAACTGCACGAGGAACCAGAGTGGGCTCAGTCACGCCCTGCACTGGGAGCGTCCAGTCTGCTGAGGAGTCACGCGGGGCGACGACGGTCAGAGCCCCAGACCAGGGCGTCTTAAACCCAGCTCTCTACATTTTAACCTTAAGGAGGAATAAACAAGGAAAAGTCTAAAGATTTTTATTTTGGAAAATGCAAATATATACAAAAGTAAAGAGAAGAGTATGATGAAGCCCCAAATACCCATCAGCTTCCAGAACGGTCAGCTTGTGGTTACTCCAACCTGTTCCTCCTCGTGGCCCGCCCCCCGCTGCTGGCCCACAGGTGTGCCCTGCGTGCAGAATAAGGGACAGGACAGGGACGGAGCGTCACGCTCACTCCTAACGCAGCTGTATCCATCCAGTTCTCTGCTGTCCTGTGCTATTTTCCTGAACTAGCCACTGCTCGTGTCCCCACTGCAAGACAGGCCTTGTATCCTGAGGGACAGCCCTCCTGTGAGCTGGTCACGGAGCTGAAGGCCCGGTGTGGACCTGGGGCAGTTTCTTCACATCCCTGTCTGTGGGCTGAGAGGCTGCTAATAAAATGCTATAGCATGATCACTGCCTTGGTGCTGATCTTAAAAAGGTCACACGCCCCATGTTTAATAAATCAGCTGTTGTTTTAATCACCTAGGAACAACTTTAGAATTATGTTAAAAATAGAATATAGAACTGGGACTATATGCATAGTTGGCTAAGAAGCTATAGAACTAGGAATAACCTATGAGCATTAAACAAGAAGTTACTATATATTTAATGTACTACAGGACAATTAAAAACTTTAAAAGAATCATCTGTCTGCAAGGATTTTTTTTTTTAGTTTTATAATAGTTTACACATATAATAAATAGAATCTTCTATTTAGAAGAGATCAATCAACAACACACCATCTTACAGACTTCTGCAATCCAACAAATGTTCTCGATTAGCTACTAATTGCCAGGCACTGTGCTAAGTGCTAAGATAAAAATATGAAAGAGATCATTCATATATATATATATACGTGTATGTATATGTATCGAGATTTCAATCTGGTCTCCCAACCAGACAAGCTCAGTGAGGGCTGGTACTGTCTATGTATGTATATGTGTCTGTATATGTAATACATATGCATGTACAATATATAGGTGTACATGTGTATGCGTCTATATCTGTGTACGCTGTATTTGTGTACATCTGTGTACATGCATATGCATGTATACCATACACATATGCACGCATGCCTGACCGTGTGCATTTCGTCTCCTCCAGCATGCCCCCGACGGTCCAGAGTGGACGATGCGTCTTTCGTTCGGGCTTGCCTGGTCTTCCTGATCTTCCCCCAGCGGGAACGTTCCCTTCCTCATTTTCAGTCGCAGGGACCTGGGCGGGGCTGACCTCCTCCAACCCCACCTGGGTGTAGAAGTGACCAGTCAGCCAAGACTGCTGCTGGGACGACGGGAAAGAATCCTTTCTGACAGGGCTGCCAACCCAGTAGACTGAGCCAGCAGCCGCCTGCTGGCAGCCAGCTCGCCATGGAAGAGCCTGCTGAGAACGCGGGCTGGAGGCAGGACGGGCACGCAGCCTGGCCTGGACACTCCCGGGAGTTGCTAGTTCTGTGATCTAATACCCCTTTTTTTTGCTAAGTCAGTTTGAGTTGGATTTCTATAATTTGCAAATGAAAGGGTGTGAATAACAAGCATCGACTTTCAGTCACTGAATGTTTTTTTTAAGTGTGAAAGCAATAATTAATATAAGTGGTGATAAGTGGGGGAGAAAGAAAAACACCGATGTTATGTTCTAGGAACTGTGTTCTCTTAAAAGCGTACTATTTTAATGCTATCAATACGAATATGTCAGGATTACATAAGGACAGTCCCCGTCACTTCATTTATTCAATCATCCAGCAAATACATACCTGGCACATTCCGCGTGCCAGGCACTATGCTAACCAAGCACTTCACGCCAAGACCTCATGAACCACCCCAGGTGGAGAGGTCATGGAGGCTGCTGGGGTCACAGAGGTGGGGTCTGAACTCACACCTGCCTGCTGCCAAAACCTGCACCCTGAAGCTTTACACAGTGCTGCCATTCAGGCCCAGATCCATCTGCTGCAAAGCCCTGGAGCTTCTCACTTTACCGTAATCCTTCCCAGCTACTAAGGAGCGATCCAGGTGGCACGAGCCACAGGTCAAGCTGGGCGTCAGGATGGTCAGACCTGAGCAGGGCGCCAAAGGGAGGTGCAAGACTTGGCCTTTTACAACTGTCAGTAAACACAACATCAATAGGAAAAAAGAAGGAAGATGTGCGTCCACAGAAAGGATGTGTTTCACTGTGAAAAGGGTGACGAGCATCTCTACAAAGTGCTTCTGAATCCACGTTTCCGCAGACACGTTGGCACTGCTGTGTTCTGTGTTACGGTATAAAACCTTGCTGCTATGGCCGCAGGAGACTCTCATATGCACTACCTAATAATAAAGACGAGAAAAGAACGTAGTGTGACTGAGAAGCAGAATAAACAAATACCATTGAGCCCTCTGGCTCCGGCTAAGAATAACAAGTAACCAGCCTCTGCAAGCTGGGAAGCCAATACTGGTTACATTTTAAATCCCTTTTTCTGTCTTATGATTTTTACTATTTTTCACTATGTTACGCCAACACAATTTGAATTATTAGTGTGAAATTTCTTTGCCCCTATACGATTTGAGAAAGATGCTGTTAATAGGACTGAACAAGCTTTCTGTCCACAGTGACACACCGTGAGTTTGCAAGGTGAACACGGTGAGCAATGCCCAGGTACCCCTATGCTGACCATGGCGGTCACTGTCCTCTCTGGGTGGCACTTGCTCTCCTGTAAAACAAGACGCCTAGAAAAAAACCTGTCTAGAAATTGAATGAATGAATCGATGAACGAAGAGATTCAAAAACCGTAACTATTCTCTCAAGTATATTTTCCCAAAGAAGCAATGACAGATTTGAATATGAATTGGGAATAAAGATGATATTTAATGATTTTTGTTCACTTTGATGGGTGTGAAAATGTTAACTAGAGAATATTCCTAGTTTCTGGAGATGGATATTGAATTATTTCAAGATGAAGTATCAACTAACTTTGAAATGACTCAGAAAAAATAAATACAGATGAAAGAAAGATGGCAAAAGTCTAATGTTGAATCTAGGTGATAAATATAAAGACGATAAGTTCTTATTAGTCTGAGGTTAAGATAAGAAGAAATCTCTTCATTTCTAGAAACTTATGAGATACCTGGGGAGGTGCAGAATTCTAAGTTGTAATACTCCAAGGTCAACCCTCAGGCAGTAGGAGCTGGGGAGCAAAATAAAGGGGCATCAGGGTGACTATTTGCATTATTACTCTCCGTTAGAATTTTACCTAGTTTCCAATTCGCACGCAGCTAGGCAGAAACACAAGAACTCCGTTTTGTATGTATCTGTGTGTCTTTCTTGGCGATATTTGGAAAAGGACGAAATTTCCAATTTTATTTTTAATAAATGAGTCTTTTAACAAGAATGACGAACATAGGAGAAAGTGACAAGAATCACGACCACTGGAAACCCGATGTTATTCTGTTCCGTTTCTAACGAACACATGCTTATATGAGTGAACAAACAGTACTAAGGAACTACTGCGGCGGTAAAGTAAGTTGACGCCGATGCTGGAAAAGAATAAAAATAATTTTCAAAATGAAACGTTTGAGATAGTTTCAGTTTTGCAAAAAAGGCATTTTTCATTTAGTTTCTCTCACGGTGAAAGTACTCCCAACTCAGAAGGCTGGTCAGAGGACTCACTCCTAGGTACCTGCACGTCCACTCGAGCAGCTTCTTTGAGTCTAGACGCCTATCCAGTCACTACTGTTGCCCGCTCTGGGTTTTCCGAAGCCATGAGCCTACAGGTCACCTGAAACAGGTGGACCAGGCACAAAGGACGAGAAACGCTCTTTCCTCACAGAAGATATTTATTGCAATAGAGCATGTCACACCGCACGTGCTTCTCCTTGACACATCTTTGAGGCAAGTCCTAAAACTCATGTACACCTTGGTTAAATTCTCCCAATTATATTTTAAGCGGGGGAATGGTCTCTACCGAGACCAAATGATCAGCTACAACTTAATTAGTACATCAGAAGAATTCCTACCTCTCAGCCCTCTTGCACAGACGTAAGACAAAATAGCTTTGTCTCATCTAGCAAGAGGAACCGCGGCAAGACTGAGTCACAAAAGCGTCTTTCTTCCCACGGAATAAAAGAAAGGGCCTCTTTCTGCCGCTGAGTCATGACTCCAAACTGCGGCTGAGACAACGCTGGGAACTGTGACAGACATCCTGGACTGCAGAGGTAGACAGGAAGTCATAAAGTCACTTCCCCCTCATTCACAACGATTGTCCAACAAAGAATACAAGCCTCTGCTGGAGTAGTAGCCTCTGGGCATTAAACAAAGAGATATTTATATCTATAAAACAGACAGGTCAGTGCTGGTGCCACAGAGAAGTGAGGGTGTGTCTATCAGCATCAGCAGACAATACAGCACCCTTCCGTGTCACTGTGGCCTGAGCAGAACCCAAACGAAACAAAGGCATTTTCGAGGACTGACAGCAGGAGTCCTCCAGGATTCCCATTGATACGACAGTCAGACATGAAAGGTGGACACCGGACCAATGAGAAATCAGTATAGAGTCTACCTGGGAGCTTTCAGCAGTAAACACGTGATCAGTTCCTAGGTCCATCTATTAAGTTTCGGGGAAGGCAAGCCAGAGCTGTGTTGCCATGGCGACGATGGGGCGGCCTCTCACCTGAATGCTGACGAACACGCCGTGGTAGGTCTCGTACAGGACCTTGCTGCCCTTCCCCTGCAGAGGGAACTCGAAGGGGATTTCCGTCTTGCCGCTGGGGAACTTGCCGGGCTTCACCATCTCCATGGTGCTGCTGATGATCTGGATGGGCTGGGAGAGGGAGAGCGGGTCGGTCGCTGCCCTGTGTCGGGGGGGCCCTGCGCTGCTCCCCGCCCTGGACGCGGCCGCGTGGCGGTGCAGGCCTCACAAGGCCCTGGGGAGGGCGGCGGGACCGACATCTGGAACCCGTGATGCCTTCATCGGGGAAGGTGTTCCCCGCCTTTAGAGCCGCTCTGAGAAAACCCACGACTTTGGAAGAGAATCTCTAGGAGCTACCGGAGGAAAACAAGAAAACCGGGGAAAAACACGGGAGGGCCGCGTCCGAATTCTGTTAACAAGCCTTTCTTTCCTCTGGACTCGCCTCCAAAACTGGAAGAGTGAATATGTCCTTCAGGAAAAGGAGACTGTAAGCATAAAAGGGAGCTCACATTCCGGAACACAGAACTCTGCCCTAAATGACAAAAACATGGCCCCTGCTACTGCCTCCTACCCGAATGCCGAAGCCAGCAGCAGCCGGGCGCACAGTTAAAGTGGCAGCGC